GCCTAGGCGGAGAAAAATAAATCCACTGTGGTTGCAAATCAAATTAAGTAGCAAATTTGACAATGACTATCACGCATAATTATTAAATAGTATACGTAATATTACTTTTACATTGCATTTTTGTTGTTCTCTGCACATATTTCGATGTAAAACGATGCCTTGCATGAATCGTTGTTATGCCTCGCACTTTTGGGAATGGTAAAACGATGCCTCGCATGAATCGTCGTTTTGCTTCGCTGCCTCGCATGCCTCGCTGCCTCGCACTTTAGTACTACCCAAGAAGTTCAAACTTCCAAAGCATGACCTTGTTGAAGTGTACCAGTCGCTCGACAAGCTTTCTTTATTAAAGAAGGTACAATCTCTGTTATAAGTTTGCCCAGAATTTTTTGAAAAGTAATCATTTCAAAAACTGGTTTAATGTTGCTAACAATCGCAATATGGAACTTAGAAAAGTGAGGTATTAGCATCCTAAATGTAGAGTGGAAAGGTATCGAAAGAGTGCAATACCATTTCTTACTTCAATCCTAAATGAATGATTTTGGCTTAACTGCAATAATAATTAGAACTACAATAATAATTATGGTTATGTTAATAATAATAATAATAATAATAATAATAATAATAATAATAATAATAATAATAATAGTAATTATTATCATTGTTATTATTATTATTATGATAATGATGGTAATTATGATTGTTATTGATGATATTGACTATTAATTATATTTATTGATTGATTGACGGTTTTTATCTGTTGTTGCTGTAATTGTTATTATTAACTATATTAATATTAACGAATAATTAATGATAATTATTATAGTAATGACTACTACAGCATACGATGATCACATAACAATGATTGTAACAATGAAATAATGCATGACAACCTTTTTTATGTTGGCCCCTTTTTCATGTCGCGTTTTTCTTTCCAATTTTAATGTAATTTTAATTGAAATTTTATTTTGTGTGCTTTGTTTGGATTATTGAATTTTTATATTTGATGATAATAATAATAATTACAATGTCTATTATTATTATTATAATGATTCTATAATTAATAATTAAAATAATCGATTTTATTACGTATATGTTTTTAAACCTGTTGTGTACTCCTAATGTATTTGAATGTTACTTTTTTTCTCCCTTTTTTTAATGTCTTGTGCTTGTGTTTGATTGATGTTTTGATGTTTTTATATTTGCCTACTTGCCTTATTTTTGTAAATATCTATTTATTCTGCCTTGGATGTGAATTTGTATAAAGGTAAAATATAATCATATAATTTGGAAAAAAATGAAATTTTTAATGTTTTTAATCGTTTTCTAGATGTTTGTGCAGTTTGTGTATTGTTAATTAATAATTAAAACTTTGATGTTTTTATATTACTTTCCTTTGATGTTTTTATATTACTGTTCTGTATTATTGTAACTATCATTTAATTCAGTTCTCGGCTGCGATTTTGATATTGAATAAAATGAAATGAAATGAAATTGATTGCAAGCTTTACGTGTGTGTGTAAATACATGTTATTACGTAAATAATATGGTTATCTTAGTTTATATGCGATGCGCTAATTGGATATCTGGCGGTGTTATCATTACATAAGCTAATTAAGAGAGATACGTCATCGTGATTCAAAAATGATGACTCTATATAAGTTTATACATACTTTGCTCTATGGTTTATATACAAGTCATCTACCAATTAAACCGTGTTAATATATATAATTATATTATTATTACACCAATGGTCCCAATAGCAAAATCAAAATAAATACAGGTCTCCCTCAAATGAAAGACCACCTCAAATAAAAACCACTTTTCTGTGGTCCCAAATAAACAAATGTCTTTTATTTCTATTATTCTAATTAGAGACCAAAGCTGCTAAAGATCATGAAAACCCCGGTCACAAAAGTGGTATATTATTCCTAAGCTTAACACCAGTGACGTGTGTTACTGTGTGCTGAACGGAGTTGGTTTTGTGAAATTAAAGATGTATTTATCCCTAAAAATGACCATTCAAAAATATATTTTAAAATTAACTTGCTAATTTTTCAGTAACGTACAATTATTCACTTGAGCATAGAACTTATTGAAGTTAAAAAATGCATCCCCAATATTTTTTTTTTCGCTGTAAAATTACGGGTAAACATTCTTGAAATACTATTTTTTATTTTCAGGTTTACATTTTTATAATGTTCTGTCAAAATAGGAATGTTAATTTCAAAAATGATTTTTATGACTTTTTTTTTATCTTCATAGGCCTAATAATTATAATTAAAAACAAGAATGCTTAAAATTGAGGTAGAAGATCATAATCTTTGTTAGGGCTCCGACTAAGCTTCTTTGACCATTTCTTAAGCTTAGTTAAGGCCAATCCAAATCAATTGTAATGTATACAACGAAGCCTTGAAAGAAATTAAAGTTATTTGTGTTCTGGTTTAACATTCGCTTATTCATTTTATGGATACTGTTTCTGTTTAGGTAGGCCAACTTTGAGCTGTATTATGAACCAGGGATGCATTACAATACTAATGTATTTATATTATACCACCGATACCATTCGCAAGCCACCATGTAGGCCAACTTTGAGCTGTATTATGAACCAGGGATGCATTACAATACTAATGTATTTATATTATACCACCGATACCATTCGCAAGCCACCATGTCGGCCAACTTTGAGCTGTATTATGAACCAGGGATGCATTACAATACTAATGTATTTATATTATACCACCGATACCATTCGCAAGCCACCATGTCACATTCACTAATTAAATGTCTTGACCAAATACACTTCCAAGGCAGTGGCGGCTCTATGATATATTTTCTGGGGTGGAGGGGCTAGGCTGTCCGACAGGGGGACTTGCAACTCGTAGGCTCGAGCTGGGAGAAGGGTTTGAGAGGGGTTCCCCCTCCCAAATGTGATTTCATTTAAGAATAGCCGGAAATGGCACTCGCAGGCTGTGACAGACTGTGTTGGTTTGGTTTGGGTCTATTTTTATATTTGTTATGGTCTGACTGCCCGACGAGCTCTGTCCGACGGGATTGGGGGGGGGGCTTGACCTGTCTGGTGGTTGAAGGGCTTAAGCACCCCTTCCCCCTTCCAATCCGCTGACGCCGCCGTTGTTCTTAGGTAGGCGAATTTAGTGTTTCGCTGGAATTACATTTTATTGTTGAATTTGTCCAGAGAAAAATATAATACGATTTAGCTGTTGACTAGTGTATGGCCTATTTCAATTAAAATGTACACTGTCCATGAAACCTCTGTCAGCAAGCTGTCGTCGATAAAACTTGCTGTCAGACAGCCTCTCTGAAGCTATCTGACAAGGGTCCGAAAATATATTTACAAGAGACACAAAAGATCACAATATTAGTTTCGTACCACACACATGGTGTGACACTCTTCAGATAAAATTGCCTAATGACAAAGAAACATAGAAATACAATTAATTAAGATAAGCTGAGCATGCGCAGAAAGACAGAGGGTAATTCAAAAGTATCAATTAGTTGGGTCTGATTAAGGTTTGATAAACAATGAAAGGGATTAAAGTGATTCACAAGTTAAGTTGCAACGTTGCATGAGAAAGATCCTTGCATGCTAGGAGGGGATGAAAATAAAATTAGGTTACAAAATATCTTAGAAGAAATGGTTGGCATGGGAAATATATATATTTTTTATTTTTTATTTAAAAGCTATCTGATCGGTCGCCAACAATTTACTTCTTTTTTCTATTTTTGACTCCAAACTTTCTTCTATCACATGTGGTGTACCACAAGGTTCTGTAATACTCGCTCCTCCCTTATTGTTAATATATATTACCGTAATATATACATTTTAATATACATTAATATACATTATTTCAGATTACAATAAAACATAGCACATACTCATACACAATAAGTATAATACGAAGTCCAGAATGAACGAAATAATCGAGATCAGATAATATGTTGCGGCAAAAGCGCTGCAGGGTTAGTTGGCGGTTTTATGAAAACCAGGCGTTATAACGGTCCGGACGGATATACAATGGTGATGTCATCGACATACGTGACAAGCAAATAAAAGTTTCATCTCCTGACGGATAACGGCCTGCGGCATGTGTAGTGTATTGGAAGCATAATATGATAAGTTCATATCCCACACATCCAGAAATACTGCGCCAGTTCCTTTAAAAACCTCTCGTAAAAGCAAATTGTATTGACGAAATATATAGTCGTTTCCAAATATGTAAAAATATATATTCTTATGATTGCGTGGATGGGATCCCTTTATAGCAACAGTTGCATTTGGGCACCTTTGTAAAAAGTCAACGACTGCATCTCGGATTCCGTAAAGACGATCGAGATAGCTCTTTTTTGTCCACTGACCGTAGTGGGCCCATGGGCCGACTACGACAACGCGGTTACAATCATGCATCTCGCGTATAATTTCACTCTCATACTTCATACTGGCGAATGGAATAACCTTTTGTTCTGCGAGAATACAAAGAGGATGGAATTGAAAAAAGATGTCAATGTCAAGGTCTGCCACACGATGAAACATTTTAAGCCCATTTGAGTGATTTTTCCCGTTGAAAATGTCAACAAGCTCGTGAAACCACTGTCGGAAGGTGGAATCTCCTAGCAAGGAAATGTTCTTGTGCTGTAAACAGGGGGAAAGCCTTTTATTGAGATCTTCAAACTCGAGCCCAGCGCATGCGTGCGAATGCCACGTATTGTTTACCCAGAAACCATCTGAGCGGGGAATGTCAGAGGAATATACTCCATCTGTCTTTTGTTTTTTTGCTGGATCTGAAAGAAATAATAAATAGTCAATTCAAGGGGATTTAAGGATTGGCAAATAAAATAGGCCTATGCTTTGTGCTTGGCAGTAATATTGAAGGCCTTACCTTCCACATGTATTTGAAAATTCTTGATTACATAAAACTCCAGGTTGATCCTAAAAAAGTAAACTAGATTACTTAATATAACAAGAAGGTACATATTGTGTAATATGTACATATGTACATATGTAACACCTGTCTCTTATACACATCTAGATGTGTATAAGAGACAGATATTACTGTAACCAATTTTTTAATAAGCCTATCATGGAAATCGGATCTATAAATGTTGCAACAAAATCGACCGTGAGAAGCAAAACGAATTTTCAATTGTTGCCACAACATTGTGATCGCAATCGCAGTAATAATGGTAATCAACATCGTAATAAAATGATTCTAATCATACAGAGGCCCTGGTTCTTGATAGCGTGTTATGAGTCTCGGGTATTCGGCAGCAGTTATCAACTTGCCAGCTTTAATGACAAATAGATAGCACACAGTAAATAAATACACGTACCCATAAATTTACCCCACAGCATGTGAAGGCTTATATTTACTGTTGCTTAAAATGCTTGGTCTTGATATATTCGTTGTGAATGTAGAGTTCTTGAAAGAAAGTAAAAATAACATTATTACACATAGATGCCTTACTAAATGAATGGCATTTAATCAATGACGAAAAATGAAAATCGAAATACAACAAATGGGTCAGCATTCGACTTCGACTATATAATTAAACTAAATTGCTGATCCTATAGCAAATTATTGTTACTTGGTACCAGTTGTAACTAAAAATGGATGTGTGCACATACAGATTTCGACTGATTTGGAAAGGATTTCATGGCACACAGTAACATGAATGTAAAGTAGGCCTATTAAGGTTAGCAAAGATGAACGTTAACATTTTCGGGTTTTGTAACTTTATTTTGCAGTTTTCACAATGCTATACAGGCACAACTATTATGAACACATTACATACAGTACGGTATATTATATGGTAATTATTTGAAAACTTGAACCAAGTGTTAGTAGCAATTGTGGCACTGATACACGAATGATAATAATACAATAATAACACATAACTAATTCTGCAATAGCAACACAAACACGGTAATACATAAAACTTAATTATAATCTGTTAAATCATTATGCTGCTACTGTATATGCAGAAACTCTCAACACTACTGTAGGGCCTACAGTGCTCGAGTCCTAGTCAGTCACCCACACGCAGTGTGTATTTGTGGTCCTGCTCTGATTGGTTCAGTTAAGTTTGATTGGCATTTCTTAGAATCAGTAGGTTTGAAACATTGACATCTGTATTTAAATTTTACCTTTGGTAAATTATACAATATCCTGATTGGTTTATAGTCTTCAAAAGTATCAAGCTGCCAGAATGAGATCTACAACAACAAAATGAAAAAAAAAAGGATAAGAGTTACAATAGACCTTTCTGCTAATATAACTTGGATTCTGTTGCTAATGTCCCACGCAAAGATAGCGTAAATGTACGTAAACACGTGCGTATTCCTGGCACTACAGTATTCTGATTGGTCAGTAAAGTTCGATTGACACACTCCGGAAAATTCCACTTATCCGAATTGACAGTTGTATATATTTCTGTAGGCCTACATACAGTAGATATAATCTTGGGACACCCATTGGGGGGGGGGGGTGTAGGTATTGGGTCTAGTGTTACAATATAGGCTATATTTACTCTCGTTTTTCTAAACAGTGCCCTCACAATACCACCTATCGGGTGCGTACCTTTGGTCTGAAGGGTTTTTGGTCTGAAGGCCCGTTGGTCCGAAGTTCCTAATTTTAGTTGGGTGAGTAACTAGACTGGGTTCCAGTCTCTAATCTTTGTCTTAATCAGTTAAAATACTTAAGAATAAATCGATTTGGCACCAATGGCGTCCCATATTACTTATTTGCATGGCGTTCCATAGTGTACTATAAACTGACGCTGGTGCCGCTTTCCGAAATACGCTAATACATAAATTGGAGACTTGTGGCAAGTATTATAGGTGAGTACCGTACCTTTGGTCCAAAAGCCCATTGGTCCGAAGGTCTGTTGGTCCGAAATTAATATATTTGAAATATGGACAAAAAATATAAAACAAGAAACACAATGATAGACCTATATTATCTAACAGTAACAATAAAACATTATTGATTGTTGTAAATGTTCAACTCTTCAACATCCTATGAACAAACAATTCACTTGACGCGAGGTATCATATAACCTCATTATTAGACTTTACGTGAAGAGATAAGTACACATTTTTTTAATCTACTTTCACGCAGGTTCAACGTCAACGTTAATGAAATGAAAACTGGCCCATGTTTCAGCGGCTTATTTCGTTTGTTTTGTGATGTAAATGAGTTAGAAATATATATGTTTGTGGAAACTTTATTTGTAACTATCCTTTAAAAACATATATTTTATTTTTCTTTTAACATATAGGGCTTAACTTTTGTTTATTATACATTACAGTAACAGACCTTCCCACCCAACAGCAAAATAAGTGCCTATGTATCCTAGTAGATACATCTATTTTTGCAATTTCTATGAGTTGCCATAAAAGATCTCTATTCGGCGGCGATATTCTACAGCACGGGGAGCAGACCAAAATGTATTAAGACCGTGATATAGGTTTCATGAACGTACGGGTACGGTATGAGCTTTGCCCTTTATAGCCTAGGTTTTTACAATAGAGGGTTAATGAAGAATGAAACTATTTTCAAAAATGAACAAGAAAGATATCATTATACCATCCATTATTCTTTTAACATTAGGGAAAGCACATAAATTAATCATCATTATAAATCGTCATCACTGAATCTCACAATGTTATTTGCTATCCCCCACAGTCCAATAATTTTTCAATTAGTAGACGCTTGGCTTGATTTTTTTTTTATATCATTATTATTATTATTATTATTATTATTATTATTATTATTATTATTATTATTATTATTATTATTATTATTATTATTATTATTAATTATTATTTATTATTATTATTATTATTTATTATTATTAATTATTTATTATTATTATTTATTATTATTATTTATTATTATTATTATTATTATTATTATTATTATTATTAGCAACATGCACATCGTGAACGTATCTTTCCTTGAAAAACTTCCAGGCTTTACTCCCATTATCCATTGGAGCCTTAATACCAAATCAATCTGATAGTGTTTGAAAATTAACTTTTGGAACAATACTATAAAGTGATTCACCAAATTGTAACTCGTGTTCCAACCAACATTTGCAACATCTATGATGTGCCTTACTTTACAACAACAAGGCGAAGCCATATTTCTGTCTCTTATACACATCTAGATGTGTATAAGAGACAGCCATTGTGGGGCTCAGGTGGGTATGGACTCAGGGCTTTGAAGTAGGTAAAGTAAATACATCAAAGTAAAATAAATACAAAAAAGACACTTTTAACATTTTCTTTTCTATAGTACATCACACAGATTATTTAGTGCCGAAAATCGCTGATAAAAGATTATGAGACATTTGTGACACTTCATTTTGACTATAATAATCAGATGATGAATTTCAGGCCCGTAGCCAGGGGGGGGGGGAGTTTATGGTTCGGGCGAACCCCCTGTTTTCTAGCGAACCCCCTCGAATTTTTGAATGAGTCCCACCCGTTTTTAAATTGTAGCCTGCGATAAAAGCCTACATTCATAGAATATCTCAGCTTCAGAGGTTCGGAGATTTAAATTAAAACGCAATTCCAGCAAACCATGACTTTACGATGGCACACATAAGAATGGCAAACATCGATAAAAACCCGGCTGCCGTCTCAACTTTGCCTTTGGCTGAATGTTTGTAAGAAATGTACCAACCAGTAACGAAACCGGTCGCCGTCTACATAGAGTAAATGGTGCCACCAAACGAAGCTAAAGTTTTGCGACTTAATCCACCAGATGCAGATAAAGTTTTGCGACTTAATCACCTAATTGTGGATTGTGTGGTTAGTAAATTCCATAGCCATACTGTCCATAGCACACACTAAACTATGTGCTGATGGAGCATTTTGGGGAAATGGACTCTCCTTGTTTTCATCCCAAACAAAATATTATTAATAAATCAACATAGTCCATCTCAGTCATCATAGCAAGTCACAAAATTAGGCTGGAAGTTTGTTTTCAACAGCAGACGCACTACAGAACGGGGTGCGTCAAAACGAGTGTTTGTTAATTTTTAGTGATAAAGAATCATGAAACGTTGTAGAATAACTAACATTTTTTCGTCCGCTGTTGCAAAGAAGAAAACGACAGATAGTCCTGGTGGGTTATTGATTTTAAAATCAATTAGCCTAGCCTATGTGTTGACTAGCTAGGTTCGCTCCTCGTTCATAGATACAGAATTATACCCCGACGACAACAAACTAGTAGGCCTAGACCTAAGTACAGTAGGACGTACTACAGGTAGGCCTACTAGGCTTAGGCTTTTGTTGTAAAAGTTGAAGTGCATGTACAGGATGCGCCATAGGCCTATATTTAAAAAAATACATTTTGTTAATTATTATTGGTTGGCCTGGGACGGACCTAGACAGGCAGGCAGGCCAGTTTTACCGTCGGAAGTCCTGGGATTCGACGATGACGTCCGTGCACGTTTACAAATGCTATTGATTAGAATGAAAATAGACGCGCTGAATTTGGTTTTTTGTTTGTTTTTCTTTAATGAAAGATATAATTTATAGAACATTTATCTACATAAAAACAAGAATAATATTGTAGAAATTGTATTTCTAAAGATGCATATAATTCATATTTCATTTTTTAGACAATAAATATTCAGTAAGATATACTAAAAACGATAATTAATTCTGAAATGTGCATCTCAGCTATTATTAATCAGTAGGCTATGTATTATGTCATAAAGTCTAAAAATAATAATTTCGAATTATGCTATATTTTGGGCTCTGACTTAATTTAACGATGGCCCTATCAGTAGTAATGACAGTATTTGTGCTTTTTTTAGCCATGTAGTAAAATAGTAATATTATTATGAGAGTCAAGAAGAAGTAGTAGAAGAAGAAGAGGAGGAGGAAAAAGAATAGCTTTTTTTTTGTTTTATAATAATAAACGTGTTGAGTATATTGATTATGCGATGAGGTTTTTTTTTAT